ATCAGGTGCCTGGCCAAGAAGCAGCTGCTCTTCAGGCCGTACAACAAACAGCGACCGACCGACAGCAGCCAAAAGGGCAAAGGGCAAATAATCCCTCGATACCCACCAAAAGGCATCAACTCGGGCGATTGGCCAATTTGGACCCGAGGGCCGAATGAGCATACTGGTGTGTGCCCGAATGTGTGCATGTTAATGAAGTGCCGTGTGGCCGCCTCCCCCTTCCCCTTTCGCTTCCCCTTTCGCTTCCTCTTAGCGTTCTCCATTTCCAATTCCCATTCTACATCCCGCATAAGCCACGTTGGTGTAAATACAATGCAACCCACGTTGATGTACAAAGTTTGTTGCACACTTTTCGGCTGCGGCGTAAATACACAATTGAATAGAATGGACAATGGACAATGGCAATGCCCCACTCTGGACCCTCACACATCTCTGTTATTGTTGTTACACTACACGAGTGGTGGGGTGGGGGAGGTTCCCTTGAAAACAAAGTGGCACAAAAATGACATTACACAAAAGGGATTTAGTTAGTTTATTTGTAGCATATCAGCAGCCATAACTGTCAAGTGGAGGATGTTGTTGCTGCTGTTGCCGTTACTGTTTGGCAGGGCAGCATGACACAGACACAAATGCGACACACAAGAAGCAAGCAGTGGGAGCAGGATGGGGAGTGTTGGGGAGTTTTGGGGAGTGTAAGATCTAGAGCGGCCATCATCATCAATCATTTTGATTTGCGCTAAAAACTATGCTACGCTTTGTTACAACAATCCTGCATTGCATAATACATACAACAAAAAGACAACACCCACCAACACCCATTCACCGAAATAAAAGAACAACAACAGCTAGCGCTACAGCCATCCACCAACAACAACAACAACGACAAACACTGGAGACGATAAACTACGGCGGCAACAGAACAGCAGAACAGCCAGCGGGGGGCGGGGGCATGGGGGACAGGGGATAGGGGGCAGCGGGCGGCGGGCAGGGGCAAGAGCACTGCCAGACAGAATGACAACAACCATTCATGTCGACAAGTTGCGCCGGCGTTTCTTTTCCCCCCTTTGTTTGCTCTTGTAGTTTTTCCCATTTGATGCATTTAGTATTTTGCAGTATTTTTTGCATACGCCATTTGCATACTACCCACCCATCCACATATCCCCATACAAACATCCCCGTTCTCGTAAGTATGCACTCTCTATGCATGCATTAGGTTTTAGCTGCTCCACTTAATAGAGAGCATATAGCGAAGGGTGTTCTTTTCTGCTCTTTTCTGCTCCTTACTGCTCCATTCTGTTCTGCTGGTGACGGAGTTTGAATTTGAGTTTGAGCTGCGAATTGGGGATGGATCTGGGTCTGGGTCTGGGTCTGGTTCTGGGGTTGGGGTTGGGGAAGGCTGGGCTTAAGTATTTTTACGGCTTGCTCGTAAAGCTGCTTGTCAAATATTTTTGCTGCATTTTAAACATATCGCTTCTGGTTGTCCCCGAGCAGGCCAACCACCCACCCACTCCACCCATCTTCTTCCACCCATCTACCACTGGCAGAGGGAATATATATGAGAGACATAATGAAATTTTAATTAAGCTCAAGCAGCAAGCAGAATTAAAAGACGAAATGTGCGCCTTTTAATTCAATTTATAATTACACACACAGACACTAAGAGAAACTGAGGCGGAGAGGCAGAGGGGCAGAGCCAGAACCTGAGCCAGAAACAGAAACAGATGAGAAGCCTTCCACTGGTAGGTAGATCTAGGTAGTTTCTGTAGCTGTTTCTGTTTGTGCCACGGTTACCCGTGCGGCTGTGCGGCTGTGGGGCTGTGTGGCTGTGGGGCTGCCACATTGCAGCTGCTCCTCGTGCTCCTCGTGCTCGCTCGCATCGCTGCGAATCAATTAAAAAGACATTTGCGAAAATGTTGCCACGGCAAATTGAAACTGAAACGACAACACGAATGCTTAAATGAGCGAATAAACGAAGATGAGTCTGGCAGCGAGAAGAGAGAGAACGATACGACGCGATACGATACGATGCAGAGGGAGAATGAATGCATAAATGAATGAATGCCACATTGCACGAATGACTGATGATTGTCCTGATGATGACGATGACGAGGACGAAGCAAGTGCGAATGTCCCACCGACCCGACTCGTCTCGAGTCGACTCCCCATTGCGAGTGCCAGTGCCTGTGCCAGTGGCAGTGCGAGTGTGCGGCTCAAGACGTTTTCCACTTCCACTTCCCTGTGGCACGTCCGCTGAGCTAATGTGATTCAATAACCCAGCATCTGGACAGTTGGATATGATTGCTGATTGTTTTTCATTCGCCAGAGCCGCCAGAGCGCTTCGAACGCCACTCGAGTGGGGTGCAATTAATGATATTCGAGTGCACAGGACAGATCGAATGTGGTACAGTACGTACGTACATTCAAGAATAAATTGAATATGTATGACAACCCTGGAGTGGAGCAGTGTGCGGGCTTTGTTAAGCACAGTTTATTGTCCAAACTGAAGCGGCAATCCGAATGCCGAAAATCCATATGTGGGCAGATCCAACGCCCTGAAACATAAATCACAAACTCAACGAAACCTTCAAATGTTCAATAGGAGAATGCGAATGCATCCCAATTCGCAATCCCTTTCCGCATTCCCAGTCTCTTTTTCGAATCGCAATTGAACTAATCTCATGCCATGCAGCATTCCCTTTTCGCTTTCGCCGAAAACTTTCTAATAATTTCTATTTGAAAGCCCGGCCAAAAGTTGTGCGTGGTGTGCAAAACTGTCATAACTCATAAGTCGCCCAGGCAAAAGCCAAAACTGAAACTGAAAATGAAAATGAAAATGAAACGGAGACAGTGGCAATGGCAATGGCGGTGGCGGTGGCGGTGGCAGTGGCGTTGGCAGTGGCGGGGTTGAGGATATGGATAGGGGCTAAAGTGGAGGCTGTCTGTGTATAATTACATGGTTCGACTGTTACGGCGGAAAACAAATAAATGAGTTTACTTCGGCCCAAAAACTTTGCCATCGAAACTGGGGCTTCCCCCACTCTCTCTGTGCTGCCGAAGAACTGCAGTTTGTGGCCATCGATCCGATCCGTCCGGCACATGCATCAGATTTTTGTTACGCATTCATGGGCCCTTAAAGTTTTATGAAGCCAACATTTTGGCATCCAGATCAAGTTATGGACGCAGGCAGGCAGCATATGGCCAAAGCCCCCACACCTCACCCACCCACACGACTGAACCACTAAAAGTTCTACCACTCTTCCCCCCTCTCGAGAGCAATCAATCGATTTAGTGTTCGGTTCGGTAGCAAATCCATGTAAATTGTATGGCAAATCAATAGAAATTCCCAATTTATAATAGGAGCCCAGCAGACCAGCAGACCAATGCAGTGGCCCAGTGGGACGCCTTCGAAATACCTGAAAACCTGGGACCCGAAGGTCCTTGGGATTCAAAATTAATTCAGATTGCAATTCCTTTGAATTATACGCATCACCAAACTATGATTTCTCATGAAATATTAATGCCAGCATGCGACATTTGATATTTGGCGATGCTCTCGCTCCCGCTTTTTGTTTTCCATTGACTCCGCCCCACGCCCCACGCCCCGCGCCCCGCGCCCCACTCCCCACTACTCACTCAACTATCCAGAGACGGAGACGGAGACGAAGCACGAGTAGAGCCAGAGCCATGACCAACTTCGTTATCATTGTCAACATGCCATTGAGTCTCGTGTCTGGAGAGTCTGGCATGGCATGGCAGGGTCCGGCCCCGCCCGGCCCGGCCCGGCCCGCATCCGTCGTGCGTTCTCCCCATCTCTCCGCCGCATAATCAGAGCAATTTCAAAGTTGTGTCTGTCAGAAAGGCACAAAATGTGGCCCACGGTCGTCGCTTCATGCCCCATACTGTCCTCTGTCCTCTCCTCTGGTTTCCCTGGGATTTTTTTCGTCTTCCCTCTGTCTGTCGTTTTTTGTTGGCACTTCCTTTTTGACACCGGCGTTCCGCTACGTTTCACGGCTGCCATTTCACCTGGCTTCACCTTCCACGTCCCACATTCACGTCCCACATTCACGTCCACGTCCAGTGTCTATCAATGCCGGCGATTGTCCTGCCGCCTGCTGGCGCCCGGCTCTTGCTTGTCAGCCGGAAAATGTGAATTTATCACACGAGCACGTACGCATATTCTCGCACCGCGCCATTGTCCTTTTTTTACCAGCTCTCACTCTCTCTCTGTGGGTGGATAAGGGCCGCAGAGTGGCACGATTGCTTCATTGGAAATGCTGCCAAAGATTAGTTAATATTCGCATTTGAATTTGGTTGACTGCCACTGAGGTCAGAGGTCGCACAGATTCTCCTCCAGAGGGTCGCTCTATGGGCTTCCCAGCATGTGAATTAGAATGTCTTAATTGCATCCTGTTTGCGGCAAATTCACTTCTGCAACAATTAAGAGCCAATTTCTCAGCCGACTACAGCGACAGCGACAAGGATAGCGATAGCGACGGCAAGGCAAGGCACGGCACGCCTTGGGGTTTCTAATCAACGCGACAGGCGGCGTGGCATGCCGCGGCATTCCGCGGCATGCAGCGCGGAGGCATGGAGTAGAGACCCTCTTGGAGCTTCGCCTTTGTTTCCGCTGCGCGTCAGATGACAACGCGACGAAAAAGCCCCAGCCATTAGCCTTTCGGCTAAGAGGAAGAACACCATCCGAGCACAAATACTCCGCTCACTCCTGTGGTGGCATGCTCTCAGATTGATTGGCCTATCAAAGGGGGCTAGGGGGACACTCGCTGGGCTAGGAGATTTTTTACGCACAGACTGCATGTAAGTCATCTTAAGTGGCACTAAAAGCTTGCACCGTGATTGAGTGGCACATCAAAGAAGGAGCCCGCCTCCACGACTGACCCCGGGAGGCTTGAGTTGACCGGGAAAGAGCAACAGTCTGGGTGGCAGGTGGCGCACTTACCACTGGCACCACACGGCAAGGAGACAGATGGAGGTTTCCCTTTCGGAATGCAGTGCTTTATTCTTCAATTGACATGTGCTCGCTGGTGATCAGCAGAGGGTCCCGATCCTTGGCAAAGGCATCCGGATTGGCGGAGCTCTGGCGATGGAAATGCGGCGGATGCGTGCACGGGTTCGCGAAGGACACAGAAGTGTTCAGGATCCGCGTTCCCATCCGTTTGGTCAGCTCAGTGACGATGTCCTCGTTCTTCTGCAGCCGGACGGGTACCCAGACTTGGCGACGCGTCAGGAGCACATCCTGCCACTGCATGCGATTGGCCCGACAAATTTTACCGATGCTGGTGTCGTACTTGAGGGCCAGACTGGTCAAGGTGTCATTCCTGCCCACCGGGTGAAGCAGCCAGCACTTAACACTCGTCAGCTGGCTGCCGCAAATATTGGGTCCCCACAGCTCCTTCAAGTGCAACTGAAGCTCAGATGGATTTGTCTTCATTTGCCCATGGGCTTCGTCATCGCGGCCACTCATGACTGACACAGAGGGGACAGGCTATCCGATCGGGAACTCGTCAACTACAAATCGAACTGTCGTGCTTGTGCTTTTGGATTTCTTTGAGGCATATACAAAAGCCACTTTGATCAAAAACAACAACCGACAACACGGAGGAGTCTTCATTATATTCACATGCCCCACTGCACCATCGTTATCGTTATCGTTGGTCGTTGTCACCATCGTCGTCACCTTCTTTGATGCTTTCTGTCGCTCTGTAGCCCTCTGATTCGCGGTTTATGCAAATTACTTGGCACGCATTCAGTTCGGATGGGCCTCCGCTGCGTGTACTTCGCTGCTTGTGTCGTAATCAACTCATGTGAGCGCGGCCATCGCTGCGTATACGTAATCAACTCCTCCCACATCTCCACGGTACTCCATCCTTGCCAGCGTACAGCTGCGGAGTTGTGTAAGCGCATAATACGGACGTTTGGCTGGCTGGCTGGCTGGAGGGCTTGTGCCCGTCCCGGGTCAACCGCAAAGGTGTCATCACAAGCTCGTCCTCGTCCTTGGGCTGCTCGGGGCAATCGGCCAGGATAACGATGTTTGCAGCACACGGCTGCTTAAGCCGGCTGCTTATAATCTCTTCCCTCAGCGGTGCTCTCAGTGCTACTGCTACTCGAGTGGAAGGGGCATTTGGGAGTGGCAATGGGACCGGGGACGTTGGGACGTTGGGACGTTGTGTTATGGGAGCTTTACGCAATTTCGGTAAAAAGTCAAAGTTACTTACGGACTAGTCATGGAGTTGTATAATCCCTCCTGTAAACAAGAAGGGCGAGCGCAGTGACTGATTCCGAGCCCGAATAAGTGGTCTTTATTTAAAGGAATAAACATTTTGTGCGGCATTCAGGGGATAACAAGGGTAACATCTCCAATCCTGGGGTCTTCCACCGAATGCAGTACATCATTATCTCTGAACGGTAAAAAATACCCAGAATGTGAACTGTTTGGCCCCATATTCGTTATCGGATTATCTGCCTCGAGGTGGCACTCGCACTGGCACCGAGTTCCATCCTATTTCCGTATGGTTTTATAGGCTTTCATGTAATGCCATTATTATTTAATCGTTGGTTGTTTTTTCAACTACTTTTATTTGCACGGGGTGTGATGACACAACCTCAGTGTTATCCATTAATCGATTTTATTTTATTATCTGCCGGGGCAATCGAATTATTCAGGAGTTTACGCTGCGTGAGTGGAGTGCTTCAGGGCTTCAGGGCTGCCTGTTCGCAATGGTGTTATTAATTTGTATATGTTCTCCCCAGCCGGAGACAGTCGATACATACCTATACGAGTATATATACTTATTTTAATATAAATCAAAAGAATTACTGAATCGAGAATCCCCCCAAAAAGAGACACTGGCAAGCGACTTACCTCATTGATTGCGGAATAAATTGAATCCCAGGCTAACACTTCCTTCCTTCCTTCCGCACAAATTCAATTTGCTTTTGTTTTGTTTGCTTTAAATTTCATAATATAAAGAGGGCTCAATTCGATTCGATGTTCATCCTGCCGACTGCCGACTGCCATCTGCCATCGGTTTCATTTGCGTTCCATAAAATATGCGAAATTGATATGACAAAAACACGGAGCAGGAAAAGGGTTCTCCTGCAAAGGAATTATTGGGGGAGGATATTCCTGTATCCAAGGAGTAATCTAGTGTGAAGGCATTTGACTATCGCGAGATGGAGGTGGAGTCGATTAAGTCCGCTCCGATGTGGCATTACGCCATGAATGAGAATGAGAATGAGGTCGGGGATGGGAATGGGGATGGGGATGGGGATAGGGATGGGAATGGATAAACAAACATTCGATACTCGTATCAGTAAATTCGTAAATCCGTTAGTCCGTAACTGAGCAACAATTTACCTTTGCCGAAACTCTCTCTCTCTGTCTCCCTCATGACAGTGGCAAATGCCACAACCAAATGGGGAAAACGAATGTGAAAAAGTAAAGAGAGCTGGAGTCACTCCACCTTTCATCCAGAGATATGCCGCCCGAGGCCGAACAGACGACAGCGAGATCCTACGAGGAGGACAGCGATATACCGACGTGCCGCAAGGCCCGCAACTTTGTCATCTTCATGCTCTTCCTGGGAATGGCCAATGCGTATGTGATGCGTACCAACATGTCCGTGGCGATTGTGGCGATGGTCAACCACACGGCCATCAGCGACCACGACCACCGGCACAGCCAGGGAGGGGAGTTCGTGTGGAGCTACAAGACGCAGGGCTACATCCTGTCCAGCTTCTTCTACGGCTACGTCCTCACCCAGATTCCGTTCGGCTTCCTCATCAAGTACTATGGGGCCAAGCACTTCCTCGGCTGGGGCATGATGCTCAATTCGGTGGCGGCCTTTGTGGTGCCTGTCTCCGCCCGCGAGGGCGGTCCCATTCCCCTCGGCGTGGTCCGTTTCATCCAGGGCCTGGGCGAGGGTCCCATAGTGCCGTGCACCCACTCCCTGCTGGCCGTCTGGATCCCGCCCGACGAGCGGTCCCGGGCGGGGGCCGCCGTCTACGCGGGCGCCCAGTTCGGGACGATCATCTCGATGCCGCTGAGCGGCCTGCTGGCCGAGTACGGCTTCGACGGCGGCTGGCCCTCGATCTTCTACGTGTTCGGAATATTGAGCACCGTCTGGTGCGTGCTCTATCTCTGTCTGGTGCCTGAGAGCCCGCAGGCGAGCAAGAGGATCACCGAAGCGGAGCGTAAGTACATTAACGAGATGATCTGGAAGGCCCAGCCGGAGGACACCGGACGTACGCCGTTCCTGAGCTTCGCCAAGTCGCGCTTCTTCTGGGCCATCATGGTGGCCCATGCCGGCCAGAACTACGGCTACGAGACTCTGATGACGATGCTCCCCACCTACATGGACCGCATTCTCAGTGTGAACATCAAGGCGAACGGAGTGCTCTCGTCGCTGCCCTATCTGGCCATGTGGCTGATGGCCATCGTGTTTGCCATTGTGGCCGACGGCCTCATTCGCCACAGGCTATCCATTACGGCCACGCGGAAGATCATGAACAGCTTCGGGCAGTACGGCCCGGCCCTGGCCCTCATCGTGGTGGGATACGTCCATGAGAGCCTCATCCTCACCATCATCGTGTTCGTGCTGGGCCTGGGCCTCAACGGGGCCATCTACTCCGGTTTCAAGATCAACCACCTGGACCTCTCGCCCCGCTTCGCCGGCCTGCTCATCTCCATCACCAACTGCGCGGCCAATCTGATCGGCCTCACGGCCCCCATGATCGCCGGCCACGTGATCCACCACGGGCCCACCATCGAGAATTGGCGCATTGTCTTTCACATCGCCGGCGGTGTCTATATCTTCTGTGCCACCTTCTACAACCTCTGCGGCAGTGGCAAGCCGCAGTGGTGAATGGACGTGGAGACCGAAGCCAACTGAAACTGTTCGGGAAAAACAAAAATGGCAAAACAAATACAAAAAAAGATATATAGCGGAGCTTGTTTTGGCCATCAGCCTGCGGATGACAGGACACAACCACTGAAACAGACACACAGAAGAGTAGAAGAGCATTGGGGAGGAGAGGAGAGGAGAGGAGAGAGAGAAGTGCCATGATGAGCGCACAAGGACATCAATCAAACGGCCGCTTGCCCCTTTGCCTCTTTGGCTTTTTGGCCATTTATTTTCGCATTTGCGCCATTTATTTTATGAAACATTTTTGCTCCTAATTAGCAGGGATCGGGATGCACTGGTCCGGTCTAGTCTGTCCTCGTCGCGGTCAGCCAAACACCAGCCTATTCCTATTCCATCCATTCCGCTCTTGTTGGACCATCAACATTGCATTTGGAGCATCAACAGGCCAATCTGCATAAAATAAATTCCAATGAAACCATTGAAGCTAAGTTTTACTTTCGTTTCGATGCGTGCACTCATTGTGCATTCGAAATCGCAATCAAAATTAAACTTGAACGCATTAGCATATGAATGGAAACCAGTCCGGTCCGGTACGGTCCGTTTTCTCAATTCGAAATAAAAGAATTCCACATTCAATTTGTTTCAATATTTTCAATATTTGCAGAGCGACTTCCAGTCGTCCAGCCATCTGTGAATCCTTTCAAAGAACTCTTACTCTTGCGGTTGCGGTTTCACTTTCCATTTCCGCTAACCTTCGATGCTTTCCCTGCTTAATCTCCGCTTCGTTATCCTCTAAACTTTTCAATTTTCCTCCAACAATTCGAGCTTCCCTTCTGCTGCTCGCCGCGGACTCATCATATTCCAAATCTCGTTAAACATCCGCGACTTGCGATGATATCTGAATCATTGCATTGGCCATGGGCCAAAGGAGGAGGGATGCAGGGAGGGATGCTGTGGAAGAATTTCAACAAGTTTAACCTGCTTAAGTTTCATTGCAACAATAATTTGCGTGCGCATCAAGAGCACACAGAGAAGGAGAGAGAGAGAGAGAGAGAGATAGCTCCATATCCTTCGCTATCAGTCGCAAGGCACAGTCCCTGCTCCGAGCATCGTCCTCTGTGCCCATCCTTGCATCCCTTTGCCCATCGTTAAACACACTCGCCTGGCCACAGTTGCAGGTGTTTCACACACATACACACATGCACACACACACAGATACATACGCATACTCACCTGGCCACAAAATGTTCGCCACTCTTGTAATAAGCAGACTAGAAGGCAAACGGATGAGCTGGTGCTGGTGCTGGTGCTGGTGCTGGAGCTGGAGCTGGAGGGCCAGAGTCAGATTCAGAGTCAGAAAGAGAGACCCCGATGGGGATCTGACGGGTGGTTGGGGGGGTGAGGGACGAAGTGGTAAAGTTGTGTTGGCGGAACAGTTGGCCAGAATGTTAACTTGTCTGCACGTTTCGTTTTGTCGCCAGTGAAGCGACTAGATAGGGAGGGACATGTAATTGGGTTTTCACTTGATTCAACATGCGCCAAAATGTCAAAGTGCACCGCAAGTTTTGCCGTCTATTTTTGGTTCGGGTTCTGGTCCTGGTTCTGGTTCTGGTTGTGCCCCCTCCGACGCTCTATGGCTGTATGGCTGTATGGCTGTATGGCTGTATGGATATGTCTCTATCTGGTTGGCTTTTTCTGGCGCTGACTGCGATTCCGATTGCAATTCCAGGTAGTCACTGATGTGACAGTGAAAACTGGCAACACTGCATCGCATTCCACGAATTGATTACGTGGCATTTGAAAAGCTTGTGACTCCCGCATAAGGCTAAATGTTCCTGACCATCAGATGTGCATATAGTGCATACATGCACACTCCTATCTGATGGGTGGTGCCAAAAGAAAGCGCGAAATGCCAACCGCAAGCGTTTCGTTCAGCAGATAAAAGCTTGATGGAAAGACATCAAATGAGATACATATTTGTCTCAAGTTTGGGGAATCGCAAATGAAATAAAGGAAGAATGCATCTAAATTTAAGTAAATCCCTCGTTTAGATGCCACAGACTACTGTACGTACTGTCCTGTTGCCAGTGATTCCGGGTCTCTTTTGTGTTCAGGTGTAAATCCCTGACCTGCGGATTCAATGTTTCCATTATAACCAATACACAAATGTATCTGTATCGATGGTATACCTTTGTTTCGCTGCATCTGCATCTGCATTTGCATTTGCATTTCCCCAACCGAATGAGGACAGTAATCGGTTTTTGGCATTTGCTTTGTCCCCCAGAATTATAGATGTGAAATGCGCTAATTAGGCGTCGAGTCCTAAATACCCTCGTTAACGGCCGCCTCCTACCTCCCACCTCCTCCCTCGCCACTCGGAGATACTAAACCATGAATCTGAATCGCGGAAAGGGCAGCTGATGGCGAGTCGCTTTCAAGGGACGCATCCATTTGTGTTTGTGTGCTACTCGTAAATAAATGTCATAATTCCCGCTTTCAAACGGGGTTTTTTTTAGCTCTATTTTACGAAGGTATTATGCTTAGCGTAGGTTTTTGCGCTTTTCCATATTGATATGAGATATTATTCTACCCATTTGCAATGATACATACACACATCCTGGGGGCCTATCAAGCGACTGACAATCAGCCGCATATCAAAAACAGACTCTCATCATCAGATCTACCTTTACATGAACATTCATCCGTTCGGTGGCTCTCAATGTTTACGCTTTGATATTGAAAAGTTACGATAATGTGATTTCAACTTCGACTTGCCCCAATCCCCACCCCCATCCCCATCCCCATACCCATCCCCATTCCCATTCCCATCTCCGCATCAACAGCCTTGGGGGCAGTCTCTTTCTCTTGGCTAGTTTGTGGCTCTCAAGTGGAGGCGACTCAAGTGTGTGCGATGCCAGGCAGTGGGTGTTGCCATATACTTCCTTCTTTCCTTCCGTATATGTATTCCATATCCCCCGTAGCTTCAGATTGAGATTCAGCTTCAGGTTCAGATTCAGATGCCACTCGTTATTTTTGCAGATTTGCGAGCTCTTCTGTGGCCGTTTGGTTCTGCTGTGGCTGCTCTGGCTGCTCTGACTCCTCTGGCCGTGTGGTTTTGTGGCTATGTCTGTGCTTTTGACAAATAAGCAATTTATAAATCATTTTTATTTCTCCATTCCATTCCTTGGTGGAGCGGCTGCAGTTCCACGGACGCCTCCTGGATGCCTGGATCGCTCTACGGCCCCTAAGGATGAGGATACGGATAACAAGTGGAAAGTGGACCTGGTTGGCACTTGTTCTCTCTGCCTCTGCCTCTGCCTCTACCTCTGCTTCTGCCTCTGCTTTTGCTGAATATTTAACTTCTCACATCCAATACTACTGCTGGTGCTGGTCTCGTTTAAGCCGCTTATTGATTTTATTATGATTTCTTTCATTTTATTTCCCTTTCCCGTCCAGTTTCACTGTACCAGTACGGCTACATGCGGAGCGTTTTAGGACATTTTTTTGGAACAAATAATACAAAAAGCAACAGAACAAAGCACTCAATTTGCGGCCTAAACTACAATTGGCCCCAGTGCCGAGGGGCCACTGACCGTCCGGTCAGGAGAATGGAGAATGTTTCACATTTTGCACACGGAAATATTTTTGGTGTTTTATTTCGATGCTCGCCAGAAAACTGGGCCTGGGATATGGCATAACCAGAGGCCTGGGCCTGAGCCTGGGCCTGGGACTGTGGATTGGGTGGATCAATCAAGTGCCGTAAAAAATAGCTTTTCTAGGCGGAAATATACCTCTGCCTCTGCCTGTCCCTCTGTCATTACATTTCTCGTAAGTGACCTCTTGTGGTCCGTGTTTGTCGGTTTACCCTCTGATCGTTTAGCTTGGCAACCACAGAACCTGGACGAAACCTGGACTCTGTCTCCTCCGTGTCGCCGTCCCCAAAGTGGACAGAGTCAAACTGTTTGCTGTGTGCAAATTACCTAACCACGTATCCATTCGGTTAATGGTTAAAGCCTGTCCGGTGATCATCGGGGCAGCGAGTGCCAGGGGCACTGAACCCTGGGCAGCCCCGGGGCAAGTCGGGAGGTGCCAACCGCAGCTGCAGTCTAAGCGGAAACAAACGAACCCCATGGTGATGTTGCAGGTGCATTTGACAGATGCCAATTCAGAGATATAGAGATACAGAGGTACATGCGTACATGGAAAGTACTGTGCGTAACATAAACTTAAAAATGGTTTATCGGAAGAGTTCTGGAGTGTGATCAGTTATCGAATACAATCGATAAGCGCACACGCATTACATTTCGACTCTGCCCTATGGTCTTCGGCGCTTCAATAAATTTCTCTCACTCTCTGTCTTCGTTCTCCTGGGGGATTTGACTGACTTATAGTTTCGCCAAGCACCGTACGTGCTGCACTGACAGTGAAACAGCTTGGAGCGAATCGAACTCGAATAGGTAATCGGAGTGTTCGCTCAACGGACAGCTGACTGTATGTACAGGGCCGAAAGACATGCAACTGTTGCATGGCCAAGCAGTGGTGTGGAATGGAGTGGAGTGGAGTCGGGCTATTGCGATGGCGATGGCAATGGCGCTGCCCAATATTATTACAAATGGCAATAGATACAGATACAGATTCGAATGGCGTTGTGAAAAATGGCACAAATGCTCCGGATTGTGGGGAAATTTTGAATTTGGCAGCCAGCTGCCTGCATGGCTGTTGCAGCCACTGCCATGCCACTTGCACTCCTTTGGCCGCCCTGTCAGCTGCAACAATGTGCAAATCTCGTTAGTGAAATGATAGCCGGGTGCGCACATGCCACATGGATGTGGATGTGGATGTGGATGTGGCGGCTGGCAATGCGGTGCATCAACTGCAACACCGGAAGTGCACTTATGCCGCGCACTTCTATTTCCGCTGCTGCTTGCTGCTGCCGTCGCTATTTCAGTTTGCAGTTTCCATTTGGGCGATAAAGATTGATGGCAGCCCCAGGCCCAGTCCCAGTCCCAGCCCCCGACCCAAGGCCACGGTAACCTCCCTCTCCCCCTAATTGCTCATAATTCGTTTCAATCGTTAGATAAACAATTGGAAAATTCAACTCCAATTCAGCCAAGCTACACGGGGGATGCTGCCCTCTGCTTCTCTCCCTCTCCCTCTCCGTCGCGTCTTCGTCCGGAGTCCAGAGTCCAGAACAAGTCAAGTGCATCGGAGCATTGTTGAATTGTTGAGCAGAGAGCTGCTTTGGATCTGCATATTTTTGCAGAATGCTGAATAAATGGGGAAAAATAATGTATATTCCTGCATTGATTAAATGAAATGAAATGCACTTTCCAATTGATGGATGGATAGATGGATTGCCATTGCCAATGCCATTGACATTGCCATTGCCATTGCCCCGCACAGAAGGACAATCACTGACCCTCAAAGGAAGTTAAAGACATTCTGGGGTTATTTATGGTACAATTGCCACAAAACATTT